CCCAAAGCAACACATCCTTTAATTTCTTGCTTACTGCTACTGTGTTGAACGGGGATCCAAATAAAATTACCAACAACTTCAATCTTTAATCCATCTATCACAATACAGGCCTATTGGTCCAGTGATTAAGATTTTTGTTTTTTTGATGTTGAGGTATAACCCATATTGAAGACTTTAGTCTTCTTCAGTAAGTCGTCTTTGCAAGTAAGGTTGTGTCATCTATATTAATACAGGTTGTTGAGTCTTCCTCTAATCCTGATACCACATTCTTCTTCATTAAGCCAGATATTTGTTAAAAGTTCTGAGTATACTTCATTTATTATCTATACTTTCAGGGAATTTTTTCAATTCCATTTTTTTCATAAGCTCATTTTTAAAACCAACCTCATGCAACAGCTTGTAGTAAGAATGAGGTAGCTTCTTCCTAGCATTTCTATCGAGCAATGACTTTTTAAAAGGAAAACTTTACAAAAGATGAGATGCACAGATGCTTCCCTAAACACTGTCAAGCTCTCGAGATACTGTATTACTAATACAGCATAATTATAAAAAAATACTTAAAAATTATGTGGTAGCATTTATTACATTATGAAAGGCTGAATTTTTGGTCCAATGTATTAGAGTGGGTTATGTATAATTTCTTTTACTTTCTGCAATCAATACTCAAAAGATGATGTATTAAAGGAATTTCTTTGATATGACACAGGGCTTTAGATTTTAGCTATTACTGTCACAGAGAGACTAATTTCTAATATTTAATATTTCTAGTTTTATTAAGGCCTAAAACATACTTTAAACAGTAAGATTGCCTATTAAGCAGTTTTTCATTTTCTAAGCACAGTTTAAGGGAACATTGGTGGTCTAGTGGTAAGGAATTGCACTGTCAACCCAAAGCACATGGTTTAAATCTACCAGCTTTTCCTTAGGAGAAAAACAGGTAATGTCCTATGTGATTTACTGCTTCTGAAAACCTGCTGGAAGGTCAGCTAAGAGTAGGTACAGACTAGATGACAAATACCACCACTATAAAGATTTTAAAGAAAGTCAATTCTTTTCCTTGATCAATTTACAATAGGAAAACATCTAACAGTATTGTTAATAGCAATCAGTCCTTGAGAATAATTGGTATTTTACAGAATAGTCTACTTTTAAAAATAAAAAAGTATTTTTAATACAAATTACAAAAAAAATATTAACCATTGGAGGGTACAGTACTTTGGCTTAAAATCAAATAATATTACTACAGATTTGTAAAACGGATGTTCAAGGACTACTGATATCTGATTATTTAAAATATATGAATGGTGTATTTTTTTTTTCCCACTGTCAGAAAAAAAGGAAGCAAAGGCCTAAATTAAGGGAGAAAATTCTCAAAAGCTACTAACATATGAAGGCAAAACTACGAAGGCAGAGACGCACAGTTATTAGAGAGAGGAGCTCTAGGGGCCTAGTGGTAAGGAGTTGCACTGCCAACCAAAAGGCCTGCAGTTCGAATATGCCAGCTGCCTGCAGGAGGTAAGATGGGCAAGGCATAATAACTATTATGGTAAAAATGCAGGCACTGACAGAGAGTAACTGAGTTAAAATAATAAAGAAAAGTAAACCAGAGTTTGCAAGTTGTTTAGTTTTAGAAAAGGGTTCAATGAATAGGTATAGGAAGTATGTGGCATTTTGTTTTTGTGGTTCATTTTACTTTAGAATATTGTTGTTTTTATTGCTGTGGACTGTTGATTTGGAACCCATACGTGATCTTCCAGCAGGTTTTCAGATGCACTACATCACATAGAAAGACTGTGTATCTTTCTCCCTAAAAGCAGATGGTGGATTTATTTGAATTGCATACCTGCATACCTTTGCATTGATGGCACAACTCCTCACCAGTAAGACGCCAGCACTCCCTAGACATTGTTAGGCATAAATAAAAATTTGTTACCTAAGTAATGAGATCTTACACATAAATACAAGTGGTTCTCACTGGGGTAATACCCGCCTAGGATCATTTCCAACTATACAAAGGCACTTGCTGCTATGACTGGGCAAAGAAGGCATATAACTGCCAGTTTAGTACCTGGATAGCAGATCTGTTTATTTTCTTTAGTATGCCAGATAATCCTGTTTAACAAAATGTCAATAGTATCTTCAATAATCACATTTGCTACATAAAGTACAATTATAAATACTTTTTGCAACGAGAAAAAAAGCAAAGTATAAGTGTTGTAAATTTATTATGCACAAAACAAATCTGACAAGGCAATCCTTGGAGAGGGACATCATGCATGAGAAGGTGGAGAGAAAGCGCAAGAGAGGAAGATCCTCGATGAAACGGATTGATTCAGTGACTGGGGTATTGGGGATAGGGGTTTCAGAGACAATAAAATTGGTAAAGGATAGAGTAGGGTTCAGAGCTGTTGTACATACGGTTGCGTGGCTCAACGACACATAACAACAACGTGGTATATACTAATAAAAATTATTATTAATTATTTAAAAGTGCATTTCCGTTAAAATGGTGGGAGTGTCAACTTAACATTATTATTGAGACAAAAAAAAGATGATTTTCTTCCCTCCATCTTTAAAAGTTTAACTCTTTAAAACCAACCTGTCAAGTCAAACAAAAACCCAACCTACACAATCTATTTTTTTGTCTTCTCACCAACAACAACAAAAAAGATTTTATTAAGCTGTTCTTATGTTTTCATGACTTTCCTTTTCTAAAGACAGCATCTATCAGCCTTTTTATGTGCCAGAGTGAAACGTTTCCTATACATTACTAAATTTTATTCACATGCTAATCCCATGTAGTTGTTATTGTTTTCCAGTTTATATGGGAGAAAATTGTGTTAGAGGTTACTTGCCTAAGGCTCCTTCCCTATTCTTTTCACTATTTTATAGCATTATGGTATCAGAGATTAAACAGCAACAAAATTAATGAAAATTCTCCCACAGGGCTTTTGTAGCCTTAAAAACCTCACCCTTTTTGTCACTTAAAGTGGTTCAGGGTAATAAAAGAAAAAGTAATAGTAAAGATTAAGAAATAGCCATTGGTGCTGCTACCAACTAAATTTTAATTTTTCTCTTTGTCCTTTGAAACAATCTTAGTGATTGTCATTTTTCACTATCAACAAGCATCATTAGAAATTTCCAAACACTTTTTCCTGTTAAATGACCTTTTACTCTATACTTTAAGTTGGGGGTTTTTTTGTTTGTTTTAAACATATACTTAACACAGCTGTCAATTCAACATTTTATAACTTAAATATTCAATAAGTTTTTTTTCAAATAGCTTTAGAAGGCAATTATAACAAGTTGAGATAATTGCAAAGGAACTAAGCAATAACTAAATGGGGAATTGAATGAATTTCTACCTTGAACACCAAGTGCATTGAATGAGGTTAATGCTTGATTTGCTGCTGCTTGTTGTGTGGCCGAGCCAACTCAGCGCCCTAACTACAACGAATCTAAAGCTTGCCTTATCCTGCGTCAATTCATCTTGTCAAGGGTCTCCCAAGAAAAGGAAAGAAACAGAGTTGAGACCCGAGTTAGAACATGATGAAAGCAGTGCTTTCAATCGGTTTTCCACAGCTTGAGTCACTAAGTGACATTTTAAAAGTTTCAGTGTATTAGAATAATATACTCTACAGAATTTGGTCCGTCCGCTGGAAACGGAACCTCTCTTTGATGGAAACAAGGCAGTGTGCGTTTTACACAAACCATCAGGTCTCTTGATCGGCAGAGTCAGAACCAACAGTGTCCTGCTCACTGATGGAAGCTCACAGAGCTGGCACGAATCCACCTCCTGCACCAGCAGGCGCTCACTAGGCCGGCCTCTTCCAAGGCTCTCATTCCTGGGCTTCCACTGTCATTTTCATCATTCCAGTGCATCGACATTTTAGATATTCGGGTCTGTTCCAATTCTGCTGCCTCATCCATATGTAAGTCAGTTTATAGTCCCGTATAACAGAAACTTTTGGGAAAACCAAAAGCTTCACAGACAAAAGACCACGCAAGCAAGAAATGCAAAGCGAAGAACAATAAAAACATCTCAAACACAGAGGATGAGGAAGAAAGGGTAAGAATACAGCACGCCTAGGACGTTTTGGCCTTAGTTATCACGAATCAACGTCTAAGAGACATTCCAGCCACTCCTTCCAGAATATGATTGTTTTCTCCGTAGCTACTTATAAGAGAAAAAACTCCTTGCCTGGAGAAACTGGACGTGGGGATGTGTCCGTTTCCCACCTCTCCGTCCGCTCGGTGGAGTCTGGAGCTTGCTCCTCTGGAGGAAACCCCGCGGTCCCACCCGGGCGGGCGGCCGAGGGCTTCTCGGACCGCTACATTCAACACTTGAGGTGGGATCGGAACCCGGTGGCCAAGAAAGCGTCACCTTGTTCTCATTTCTCCTTCTCGCCCAAGCACAGCTGTTGTGGCGACGCCAGCGGGCAGGCCCAACTTCCTGTGACAGGAAAAGCCTCGGTCGCCGACTGAAGCCGGCCGGCGTGCTCGGCAGCGCTCCCCGCCTCGCGCCCCGGGAGCTCGGCCTCCGGTCTCGAAAACCCGCTGGCCACTAGCTATGTATTATCCTAGTTCTCTCTGCACCTAAGCAGCATACAACTCTCACCCTCTCTCAGAACTAAGGACTGCAGGGTCCTCAAAGGCCTCCGCTTCGCATCCCGCGGCTCCCGGGGCGAGCAAATCGTTTCCGGGTCCAATCCCCTCCCCCCCCAACCTCGCGTCTGGCAGCGGAAGAGCTTCCGGGTCGGCGGCCGAGTTGCTGCCGTGCCTGCCGCTTCTCGGCCGGGCTGCGGACTCAACGGGGCGGGTGACTCGGGGGCGGGGGTAGCTGCGGCGTGGGCACCAGCTGCTGAGCCGGAGGCGGGGAAGGTGGAAGGGGGCGGCAGGGATTGCGCGCGCGCAAGGCTGGAGGATGAACCGGACTTGACCGCGAGGCGGAGGCTGGAGCCACCGCCCCCTCTGCCCCTCCCCTGAGTGAGGCGGTGCGACGGCTGGAGAGGGATGGGGGGCGTCCGCTCACTCTGAGCTTCGCCACGGGCGCCTTCGGCTCACGCAGCGCTCCTCGCGGGCCTCGCGCGCACCCCCGGCCCGAGCAGCCTTTCCCTGGCGGGCGCACTCCGACAGGCACGAAGGGGGCGCCTGCCCCGGTGGGTGGGGCGGGGAGGGAACCTGAGGTCACGAGCTCGTCTCTAGAGGCAGGGGAGACCGCCGGGGAAGCACAACTTCAGTGCTGCGGTGTCCAGTGGACGGACCCTCACCCTCAGCTCGGAAAGTCTAACCGTAAGTCTCAGCTCGCCGTACGGATCTGGTTGAGGTTGTCTCAGCCCATTTTTGTCTTGAGTTCAGTACTGTTTAGTTCACGCCCTCCTGGATTGTGCCTCTGTCGTCTGTCCGTCTCCATCTCTAAATAGGCTGAATCTTCTGCCCCCATGGGCTCTGATCCTAGCGAATCTGCCAGCCTTTTGGTCTCTTTGGCGCGTCCCATCCTCCCCATCTGGATGCATCTCCTTGCCCCTCCGTCCTCAAACGATCTATGTCCACCCTCTTTTTTGTATCTGTAGCCCGGAGCTCCTCCGCCCATCCATCGGGAAAATCAAGGGTTCTTCCGCGTACTGGGGCTGGGGGTGGAGGGTGGGTCTTGAGGACTGTACCGATGACAGTGCCCTGCAGGTCTGTGATGGGTGTGGATAGGTGCCGAAGGCTCTCGTGCGACCTTTATTTTTACAGCTTCTTCCACCAAAACAAAAGAATGAGGCGCACCCCTGGACCCTCAGTCCCATCTCTTCCTGGGTGGAAGCTGTTATCTGTCTGTCTGAGTCGCAGGAAATTGGAACTAGAGCTGTAATTAAGCATCTCCTGAGGAGGTTTTGAGAATTAGTCTGGAAGGTCTATTCACATGGAACGGCGTATTGAGCAATCTTGTATTGACGTGAAGAGCCAGCCGTTCTATTAAGAGCTATACTACGAGTAGATCTGAAAAATGACTATGAAAACAAAAATATGATGTTTCAACTAGTAAATGTTTTGGATGCTTTTACCTGATTTTTAGTGATTTGGATTAACATCTGTTTAATTTACAAATGAGCAGTGTGTGAATGAATGTCTGATGCATGAAATCTTTCTATTAGAAGGATTTACTTTGTCAAGAGATCTATCTACATAGGTCGTAAAAGAATTTTTCGTACTTAAGATGTCAGATTAATTATATTTTATATTTTAAATTCTTAATTCGAGAGAAACCTTTTTTATGGACTTGGATTCAGTCACCCACAGGTGTTACACACCTTAGTGTCTGGACCCTTTTTGGAGGGAAAAAATTTATTTAGGATATCTTTAATGTAAACGTGTAGATTTTAAACTAGACTTCTTTTTGAAATCTGGTTTACTTATTAAATTGTGAATGCAGAATTTTCCAGAAACTAGACTTAAAAAGAATTTTAATGTTACCTATTTTTTAAGTGCTTTCATGAATTTAATACTTTTCAAGGCACTATAGAAAGCATATTATAATTTAATTTTATTCTATGTATTGTAGATTCAGTATCTGTAAATGACTGTACAGTGTAGACTAGTAGCTTTGGTAATATTTTCTTCTTAAAAAACATTGTCATTTGCTAAGAAAAGTAGATGTGTTTAATGATGACCTTTTTCATCTCCTCCCAGAAGCAGATTTTTAGCCATTAATTTGGCTTGTAACTTCTTACTGTTCACAGATTTTTAGTATGAAGTAAGCTTAGGAAAATTAGCATCAACTATCTCTCTAAAAATGCGTTTGCTTCTTTCAGAAGTCCAGCACTTTGCTGCAAAATGGAATGAATAATTAAGGGTGTGGTTTTGACTTTTTATAAAATCAATCTTTTTCTGAATAATAATGAGGTGCTCTAGGGCAGCAAGAAATCTTTTTACGTTTCTGTTATTAAATCAATTGATCTTTAAAATCTCATGGATGTTGTTGGGGGAAGATTATATTGTTTTGTATTACACTTGCTCCCTCCCTCACTGCCCTGAGAAATTTCAGTGTGAAAAGACTTAGCTCATGCAGACTGTCATATGTGTGCTGTCTAACAGGTGGTTATTGAGACAGGGAGAGAAGTTTGGTTGACGATTTTTATATACTCCTGTGATACTGCCCACTTTAAGAGGTTTGGTTTTCTTCCTTTACTGGGGTGTGCACTTGAACTTGTGAAAGTAAATTATATGTATTCATACCTTTTTATAGGTGAAAATTCAAGCCCATGTTCTTGAATAAGTAAATAAATAGATGAGCTATGAAATAAGTTTATCCAATTTTCCTTGGATGAGAGTCAGAACTAGATTTTCTTCTGTTAATAAAACTATTAAAAATTCCTTTATTGCCTTATTTCAGGTTTTTTCCCTTCTGAGAAAGCACACAACATTTATTACATGAATTTTAAAAATATTTATCTCACATATAAGGCTTTACTTGTAATACATTTCCAAAAAATGATGTGAAAGTAGATCAGTCATTATTACAAAGACTTGAGAGAATATTTATTCTGAGGGGATATTTCTGTACATCTTCTCAAAATGCTTACCAGTTTTCTTTTTCAAATGACGTGTTTAGGATGTAGTAATTTATGGACACTCGATTTCTTTTTTTCAGACAACTTCAGACTCCTTCTTATTTCCCTCTAGATAATTTACTTTCATAGTTCATCTCATCAGACCTCTTTATTGATCATCTGTGTTGTGTTCCATATATGGTTAGATGCTTGAATTAAAAGGATGAGTAAGTCAAGATTCTTTTCCACCTTGAATTTGCAAGTTTGACTGTGATTGTCTTAGTGTGCCTTTACAAAACCACTTGACCTTATTTTAGGGTTATTGTTGTTGATTACGACTCATAGTGACCCTACAAATAAAAGGCCTGAAGCTGTTCTATAACTATTAACATTTATAAAAATTTAACATAAAAATGTTTATAAAATTGATTTCTATACAATTAAAAAATTAGCCCTAATAAGGTACATAATTTTTGCCAGCCACCAGGCTGAATTTACTTTTTATGTGTATTTAATTCTTAGAACTTTTAAGGAATACGAACTATGGTTTCCACATTAAAAACGTACATTCATCATTATAGTACTGCTTAATGAATGTTGTTTTATTTATAGTACACTAGGAAAAATTTATATAAGAACAAGTTGAAATATAATTTTAATACAGTGGGGAAAGTCTGCAGCTAGAGACCTCTCTAAAGTTATTGAAGAGCAACAATGTCAGTCTGGAGACCCAGGTGTGCCTGCTACAGACCATGGTCTGCAATCACTTGCTATGCATCAGAGAGCTAGACAGTGACTAGGAATGATAGAAGGAAATTTATGCTTTTGATCTGTAGTGCTGGAGAAGAGTATTGAACAAACTGCTAAGAGAACGAACAGGTTTGACCTGGAGAGGGTGAAACCAGGCTGCTCCTTGGAGACAAGAATTCTGAAGTTTCATCTGACATATTTTGGACATGTTGCAAAGAGGGACCAGTCCTTGGAGAAGGACCTCATGCTTGGGAGGGTGGAGGGACAGTACAGGAGAGGAAGGCCCTCTATGAGATGGATTGATTCAGTGACTGAGGTAATGGGGGTAGGTGTGTCAGACAATGAGATTGACACAGGATAGAGTAGGGTTTAGAGCTGTTGTACATAGGATCACTATGAGTCGTAGGCAACTCAACAGGACATAACAACAAGAAGTTCCTAATGATGCATGAGTAGAAAAATTGTAATTTCATTTTTTTGTTGTTGTTGTTCTAAAATAGATAAAAGAGCGCTAGTGGAACAGTGTGTTGTGTGTTAGGAAGGAAGCTAACTAAAACAAAAGTGGGAATTCTCCAGCTACTTTAAAGAGGGAAAGGTGGATGGTCTCTCTGTAAAAAATCCTGCCTCTGAAACTTGATGGAGGGTCATCATGAGTCAGGATTGACTCAACAACAGTGAATAAAGTAGATTAATAGGTGTCAGCCAAAATGACATTTTTAATTATCGTTTGGAACTTTTAAAAGAATACTGAGGTTCTATTATGGTTAACTATAAACTGTATATTTAGCCATGTGTGACTTATTTTCTTCTGGTTCTAGAAATAGAACCAAGAGCCTATAAAGTTTACTTTAAAGAAAAAAGAGGGAGAGACATATATTATCCAGGAAGGGTAAAGTAATGTTAAGTGAAATCTATTCAATTTTTTTTAGGTTTGAATATAATTTTTATAGTTATCTGATTGCCTTTGGGAATTTGCATTTCTGTAATGAAAGTATATTGACTCCTTCAGATTTGAAAATGATCCTAATGCTCTGTTGTTGATTGCCATTGAGTTGAGCAGGACTCATAGCAACTCTATGAACAAAAGACCTGAAGCCTTTCTATAACTATCATCTTTTCTCAAAGTTCATAGTTTCCAGAGGCATGTTGTTTAGGAAGTGGATGCCACTCCTGCTTCCAAATCCTAATGCTTTATTAGTAGCATATTGCCTTAGCAGCAGTTTCTCGTTCCATAAAACCATTATTCAGACCCTCTACTACTAGTAGTTGTTGTTATGTCCTGTTGAGTCGCTTGTCACTCATAGTGACCCTATGTACAACAGCCCTATACCCTGCTCTATCCTGTGCCAGTTTTATTGTCTCTGATGCACCTGCCCTCATTAGTAGTCACAGGTTTTTAAAAGATGATTTTTTTTACTGCCAAAGAGTTTTTAAACTTTTAAAAATATAAACATTATATTCTGTTGTTTGCTAAAATATGTTAACCACTTACTATTCTTCATGCTCATGCTTCTTACTAGTTGTTCTTTGGATAAATCCCTCCAATTTCCTGGGGAAACAAATCTTTGTTAATTTTCTTTCATCATAGTCTGACATCCATATTTTGCTTAGCAACAGGCAATCTTTCCTTCTCAGTGTAGCAGAATCTTTGATACTCAGTTGCCTGTATTTTCTGATTGGAACATGAATTAGGGTTAGAGTTCCTTCCTAAAGACGTAATAATGACTGACTTAAAGAAATATAAGGAAGAACTAGTTAAGATTCCTTTCCTAATCAATTTATAAAATGCCTATTTAAAAATCTATGAAGAAAGTGAGAGTTCATTTACAACATTGAGATGTTCTAAGTTTGCCAAATTGTTATAAAAATATAGCCCTCATTGCCACTGTTCTCTCCTGTGCTGTAAAAGAACATATGTAAATACACATATAAAGCTACAGTTTTCGTTCTGGTTCCTGGCTTTAGACAATAGCTGATTCACATTTTCTCCAACACTAAGAGGTTCTT